CCGGCGACCACCGGAGGGGACAGGAGGCGCGGCGTCGCGCTCCCCCAAACGGGATCCAACTGACTGCCCGAGGAAGAAGAGAGCTTGGGGCGATTCGTTTTTTTTTGCTTGGGATCCAGCGACTGCGTGGCTCAAATCGAACGGTCCGGGCTGGACCGGCCGAACGATTCGGCCGGCGCACCGGCGCCTATCGGTGCCCTTTATATAATAATAAGGAGAGAAAAAACAAATGTTACGGTACACAGTGTGGGGTTAGGGTGACCCGCACCAAGAAAATAAAAAGGATCAGTCCGGCTCAGGTTCCGGTGGGTTCTCTACATCAGAAAGCCAACGAGCAGAGATAGAAGCAAGAGAGATGTCTTGCTTGATGAGATGGAGGATAGCAGCTTCCTGGAGCAAATGGTGCTCGAACACACGCCTGTTCCGTTCCTTCCAGATGTTCTAAGCAGTGCAGATGGCCGCCTTCTTGGCCGTTCCTTGAAGACACGAAGTCAAGTCATCCCACCAATGCTTTATAGATACAGCAATCTGAGCGTTAGTTGCAAGAATGGGCATGCCCAGGTCATTCTCCACCATAGTCCATATTGTACGAGCAAACGGGCAAGCAAGGATGAGATGGGTGGGGGTCTCATCCTCCTGGTCACAAAGTCTGCACATGTCATCATAAGGTATTCCACGGACAGCCAGGTTATTTGCTGTGAGGATACGGCCCGTAGCCAAAGCGACATGAAAAATTTGCACTTGGCTTCCACCTTTATTTCCCACATGAAAAGGAGGGATAGAGCCAAGGAACTGACACTGGTACGCCGAGGACGCGGAGTAGGTCTTGAAGCTGTTCCAGACCCAGGAGATGGAGTCAGAAGCTAGTGGATCCAGGGTTACCTGTTGCACCCGAGTCCAGAGGTCAGCAAACTGTCGGAGTTGGTAATCTTGGAAATCCGATGGAGGCCCAGCATCCCTTTGTTGTTGGAGACTGCATCATGGACAGAGACGTTTTTGTGGGAGCAGAGCTTGAAGACATCCCGAGCAAGGAGCTGCGGCACATTTCCATCGAGCCAACGATCGTTCCAAAAACTGGCAGAAACTCCGTTCCCGACCGAAACCATAGTGGATGCAGAGAAGAGAGCAAGATCATCCTTATGACGAAGGATCTCAGTGCCGGTCCATTCGTTCCATCTGAGGCCAAGTGCACGGGACCTCCCGTTGCATGGTCCAGTCCAGCCAGCGTTCGTTCCGTGCACGGGACAGACTACTCCAATGCTTTTTCTTGGCACTTCTCCGTACAATACCAATCAACCCGTCTTAGACTTCGTGCGTCAACCTTGTCAGTCGTGCTGGCTGAGCAACGCACAAGTCATCCTCTTCTGCCCATCCAGAACGACTCTACACATAGGAAATCTAGCATTTTATTTGCTTGTGCGATATTAATTCATTGATACCTATTGACTAAATACTCTATTTTTGAATATTTAAATTTATGACGACAAGATCTTGAAAACAAGATCAATCCTAAATACATTTTCAATACGTTTAAATTTCGTGGAACTTATTTCATTTTAAAATCTTGATCTCACACTTTTCAAATTACTGATTTTACTCATTTCAAAAAACTGATTCCAGCCATTTCAAAAAAACATGTTTCACTCATTTCAAAATAATGATTTAACTTTCAAAAAATAGTTTCTCTAATTTCAAATTAACTTATTTCACTCATTTAAAAAAAATGATTTCCCTCATTTCAAGAAGCTAATTTCACACACTAAAAATAGATCGAGCTAAAAGTGGATTGCAATGCTAAAATTTGTACGCGTTTGAAATGTATCCAATACTAATTTTGCTGTAAAGGTCTTGGCATCAGGAGTTCAAACATGTAAAATATTTTAAAAATAGAAATGTGTTTCAAAAGATACGAATTATCTAAACTGTAAGGAGAAAATTAAATCAATAGATTTTGAGAGGAAGAGATGAGAGATAATGTCGGAGATAGTTTATGTCCTAATTGCAGTGTGAGCATGAAAAGAGAGAAATAGAAGCATGCATGTCGTCCTTTATATGGCGTCGTGACGTAAAGTGGATTGATGGCCTGTCAACTGTCATAATACATGTATTAGGGCATGTGCAATGGCACTACCTTATGACTGCCACATAGGATAAATGCTGAGGTGGAGAACACATAAATCATATGAAAAGGCTTGCCTTCACTTGTTTAAGAGATGATCTATTAGGATAGTATGTCCCACTACATTTTCAGGAATGGCTAGTTATTAAAGATAAGGCTAAGAAATAATCCATTATAGACATCTTTTTATTGTCATCTCTAAATTATACTTCCACCGTCTCAAAATAAGTGTCCCAATCGTACAACTTTACACTAAACTTCATACAAAGTTGAGACACTTATTTTAGGATGGAGGGAGTATGCAATGCTTAAGATAACATTGTCTTATCAATCACTGTACATACCCTTAGTGCAGAAAATAGCAAATACTACACGTATACAGGGAAGGCTAGTTTGGATGCACTCGGATCACCAACTGTACCAACGGCAGATGCATGCACTAGAGTTCCCGGGAATCTCTTTTCTCTAAGTAACCCGGACTTCACTTGCGCTGTGAGAGGTCACTCTCAACGAGTTAGAACTTGTCAGTGTCATAACAAAAAAATTCCAAACCTCCTGTCTATTTTCCAAGGGATCCAGGGACTTTTCTGCAGTCCTGACAAGGTCGCTGCTTGAAAAAATTCTACTGTACTAAGCTGCCTCCACCACCATATCTGAAAATACAAGAAATTTCCAATAGTACGAGTCAGCTATTATTTAACATCAATAAGCGTGAGAATAAATTTTCCTGAGTATATCACTCGTGATATAACACCCAGCCCAAATACAGTCGTTGAATTTTGCTTTACCATGTTTAGGAAACCGTCACTCGGTCACGTGTGTTCCGGTCAACTCCCTCCCTTGTGTTTTTAGCGTTTGACACACGGGCCGTGTAAAGTGTGCCAAGTGTTTCACAGGTATCTTTCACACATTCACACGTGTCTGCCAAGTGTTTCATTCCTAAAAAGCACTCACGAGACTTATTGAACTAAACCCTCAATCGTAGGCATACGAGGCAGATTGGTCTTTGCAAAATATGTATGGCTATGGATGAAGATACGGAGCATGCATGGCTAAAGTGTTCAGATGCCAACCGTTTGTGGGACGAAGAACCTGCAACTGTTCGACTTCCATATGCTAGGCTACATCCATCAACGTGGGCCAAGGACTTCTGCCAGTGATCATAGGTTTACTGTCAAGGAGCGTTCTATCATGGTCTCTGACATGTTGTCAATTTGGCACTCAAGAAATAAATTGAAGCATGAGGAGGAAGGCTTCGACCCGGCGACCTCTGTTCGTCTTATCAGGGAGGCCCTCGCTGGATATGCCTTGACATCATGATCTATTGATACCCTGCCATGGCTGGTCTCCTCGAGACCCGGATTATGTCAAGATTAACACCCACACTGCGATCAAGCGAGAAGATGGGAGAGGTGGGGCTGGCAGGTGTTGCTCGATCATCCAGTTCATTTCTAGGGCGTGGAGTAAGCTATACCTGGGAGTGACTATTTGTCTCATTGCGGAGGCGATGGCAGTACGAGACGATGTCATCTTAGCCAAGCTTAGAAGATTTACAAAGCCTAAGCTTAGCCAAGATTAACTTTCACACATTCACACGTGTCTGCCAAGTGTTTCATTCCTAAAAAACACTCACGAGACATATTGAACTGAACCCTCAATCGTAGTCATACAAGGCAGATTGGTCTTTGCAAAATATGTATGGCTATGGATGAATATCTGGAGCACGCACTGCTAAAGTGTTCACATCCAAAACGTTTGTGGGACAAGCCACAGTAGCTGTTCGGCTTCCATATGCCTAGGCTACATCCATCAATGTGGGCTAGGGACACTGTGTGCTAATAGGTTCATTGACAGGGATCGTTCATCATGTCTTTATCGTGTGGTCAATTTGGCACCCAAGAAATGGATTGACGCAGGAGGGGTAAGGCTTCGACCTGGCAACCTCTATTCGTCTTATTAGGGAGGCCATCACACTGCTGGACATCATGTTCTAGTGATGCCCGGCCATGGTTGGTGGCGTCCTCGAGACCCGGATTATGCCAAGATTAACACCCACGCTGCTATGAAGCGAGAAGATGGGAGAGGAGGGGTTGGGCGTGTTGCTCGATCAGCCAGTTCATTTCTAGGGGCGTGGAGTAAGATATACCTAGGAGGAACTGATCCTCTCATTGCGGAGCCGATGGGTCATCTTGGCCAAGCTTAGGGGATTTACAAATGGCTTTCCTTAGACGGATTACCTAGAGTTGGTGAACCTCTGGACCACTCGCCATGACTATCGTTTAGTCGTGGCACGAATTTTTATAGAAATTGGAGAGCTTGCTAGTAGTTTTGATTATTTTGTTATTGGACATCTATTAAGATCAATTAATAGCCCGACTCATATCTGTGCCAAGCATTCTAGCACGATTGACGTCACTGAAAACTGATTGGACAAAACTCCTAGCTTCCTGACCAACAGCCTGCTGACTGTTGGGAAAATGCCTTTATTTGAATAAAGCTATTGAAACTCCCCCGCAAAAAGAATACGTGTGGGATTTTCCATACATTTTTTTGAAAGTGATTTTCCATACATTGGAGGTTCCAGTTCCATCCACCTCACATAAATAACGCAGACTTCACGTTGCTGGAAGTTACCTCTACACTTTTTTTTTATGTTTTCCTTTTCTTGCAATAATGGATGGACTATATATATTTAAACTGTAAGGAATATCAAATCTATGAATAATGTGCATTGTTATGAATTGAATTATATCCATATGGGTCATATTCTTGAGAGGGCGAAGGTAGCAGTGACTTAAGTTATTGACCACACAACCAAAATGTAAACAGGGGCGGCTTGGACTAGCAACATGCTGGCAACATAAATGTACATACTAGTGCATCATTCGCTGAGCTGCCTTTCAAGATTATCCACATCCAACAGAAACTGGGCAAACGCCGCCTGCGACGAGCCCCCTTCCTGCAGGGCTGCCTCTGCCTCTTCCCTGAGAGCAGCTAGCCGGGCCCTGAGCTGACTACCTTCCTTGCCCTCAATCACCAGCCGCACCTTGGCCTCCACCTCATCTGCCTTGATAAATCCTGTCATGTATCCCTCCAGCTCCACAGCGACGCCCATGTCCTCTGTCATACACACCTTGTTCATCTTCTGCTCCGCTTCCAGCGGCAGGCACAACATCGGCACCCCAGCCACAATGGCCTCCAGTACCGAGTTCCATCCGCAGTGCGTCACGAACGCACCGGTTGCCCTATGGCCGAGCACGTCCATCTGCGGCGCCCACGACTTGATGACCAGGCCCCTGCCCCTGGTCCGCTCTAAGAACCCTTGAGGCAGGAGCGCGTCAAGTTCCAGCTCGAGGCCCGCAGGCATGCGCACGGACCATAGGAACCGCTGCCCTGACCTATCCAAGCCAACGGCTATCTCCTTGAGTTGTTCGGCCGAGAGCGTGCCCTTACTCCCCAAACAGAGAAACACGACGCTGCGGTCGGGCTGTGCGTCGAGCCACTCGAGGCATTCGTTCCTCTCTGCTTTGTCCTCATCCTTGGCGCCCTTGCCGACCAATGGACCGACACAGTAGATCGGAGGCAGGATCCTTTCGGGAACGCAAAGCGGGCCCTTCAAAGACTGGACTGCCCGGCTCTCCAACGACTCGAACGTGTTCAGCAGAACGCCCATGGTCTCTGTGTTGCGCTTCCAGATGTTCATCATGGCCTTGCACATCTCATCTTCGGGGTGCTCCAACAGTTCCTTGATGAGATGAGACGCTGGCATCGGCGGAACGCCGACGAAATCGAGGGGTGTGTCCCCAAGTTCCTTCAAACCTGTCTGCCTGCCGGCAATAAATGCCGGGAGCTGGGTTAGGGCTGACAGGCATGAGGCGCTCCCGGCGAAGAACGTGTAGACCGGGACGCCGAGCTTCACGCAAACATCGGTGGCGTCGATGCAAAACATGTCGAGAACAACAGAGTGCAAGCTTTTCCGGTCGATGGCGCGGAGGAATGCTTCGAACTGCTCGTTGTAATAGTGCAAGAGCTGGAGCATGAGTAAGAAAGGGTGCTTGCCTGGGGCCGCAAAGTCTAGAGCAAGGAGGGATGGGAGGACATGAAAGGAGATGGACGGGTTGGAGGCGGCAATGCGGTCGATGGCAGTGGTGCCGGAGTCTGACAACTTAAAGGGCGGCTCGACGAGTACCATGGTGACGTCGTAGCCGTGCTTGAGAAAGACGTTGGCGAGCTCTGCCATGGGGCGAACGTGACCGACGCCGGCGCCGGGGTACAGGACCGCGGTCTGCTTCATCTCGAGACCCTATGGAAGGTGGGTGGTAAGAATGTTTGGGAACTTTTTGGAGGTGGCACTAGCACTGGCGGGGTGGAAATAGTTGGCGTTACCTTCTGCCTTGCGAGAGGAGCAGTTCTGGGCATGGAATCTCACGACTCAGAGATATGAGGACGTTATATACAGGAAACTGGAAATTCTTCCGTGCACGGGACCTCCAGCTGTTCGTCCCGTACACGAGGCAGACGTCTGACGCTCTGTACTATGCCCATCTAACGTGTCAAGCTTCGGAATGGTGTGTCAACATTAGCAGGCGATCGAATAGTGACATCCCTCGTACCCATCCACTACGTTGCGTGTCGAACGACCACCGCATGAAATCTAGCGTTTTATTTGCTTCTGCGATATCAATTCATTGATATCTATTGAAAATAAATCCATTTTAAAATATTTGTAATATATTTGAAAACCTGGCAACGAGATCTTAAAATAAGATAAAACTTCAATATGGTTTAAATAAGTTTAAAATTTATGGAACATATTTCACTTGTTTATTTCACTCATTTTAAAAAATAAATCAGATTCACTCCGGCTAACAGTGGATCATGCAGACATTCGACCTTTCCCAAACCTCCAGCTAACAGTGGATCATGCAGACCAGTCCGGACATTTTTGGTGACCTGTGTTGGATGCTAAAAATGTTAGACCATTCAGTCCGTACATTTGCGGGTGAATAAGTGATCCGTGTTGGAGTTGGCCTAAGTAATTTCTGGCAGGTAGGTAGTATAGTTCAGGACTTCACGTCTTCAATATGATGTTTTATTGTGGCAGCAAAGGACAATCGGGGTACCTTGCGGAGGAAGAATAAGCACGTGACATAGGTTTGAATTAGTACGCTTCCAGGTACACTCTTTGTTCTTAAATATAAATAAACATTTTTGCAGTTCATTTTGATTTGCAAAATAACATTACACTTAAAAACAAAGGTAGCAGGAGTAGCTTTTAGTCGATATCTAATGTCTAATCTCGTTTGTAAAACAAGGGGGAGGCATCTTGAGCAGGTACGATGGCCCCACTGATCAAAGTCGTCGACCCTGTACATATATATAGGGACATTTTGAAATTTTTGCCTTCTGATCATGACATGTAGTACCTGTTTGAGAGCGGCCTATTTTAGACAAGTGTGGCCAGATAAACCCCCCAATAGTTTTGAAGAGGAAATTGAACACGCTGCGTTTCTTCACCAAACTATTTTGCCCGTTTATTTTCCAACTATTTTTTTGAAGATTATTGAATTCTGAATATGTATTAGGGCCTCAAAGGGCTGTTTATATAAGATACAAAACTTGGGGGCCAAGGATAGTAGAGATAGATTACAATTTGAACTACCAAATATACAAACCGAATATATACTCTAATACCCCCCCGCAGTGTCAACATCAGGTGTAACAATGTTGAGACTGGAGCGAATGCCAGTGCATGCTGCACTGGGGAGCCCCTTGGTGAAAATATCAGCAAATTGCGCAGTGGTAGGAACATGAAGCACACGGACCTCGCCAAGAGCCACTTTTTCACGAACAAAATGAATATCAATCTCGATGTGCTTGGTGCGTCGATGCTAAACAGGATTGGACGCCATGTAGACTGCAGAAATATTGTCGCAATAAACAATAGTTGCACGCTCGATTGGTCGATGGAGCTCAACCAAAAGCTGACGGAGCCACACCGCCTCAGCCACAGAATGAGCCACAGACCTGTATTCAGCTTCTGCAGACGATCTGGAAACTGCAACCTGCCTTTTAGAAGACCAAGAAACAAGATTGTCACCCAAATAAACACAAAAGCCGGATGTAGATCGTCGAGTATCTGGACAACCCGCCCAGTCTGCATCAGAATAAACTGTCAAGCTTGTTGGAGAGGAAGAATTAAGGAGAAGACCATGATCAATAGTGCCTTTGAGATACCGAAGTATTCTCTTGACATGAGAATAATGAGGAACACGAGGATCATGCATATATAAGCACGCTTGTTGAACAGAATAAGATATATCAGGACGAGTGAGTGTGGCATATTGGAGAGCACCAGTGATACTGCGGTACAGAGTAGGATCAGAAAAAGGTTCACCGTCGGCCGACAACTTGGTACCAACGTCGACCGGCGTACGACATGGTTGACAGTCAGTCATCCCTGCACGAGAGAGCAAGTCAAGAATGTACTGGCGTTGAGAGAGAAAGAGTGTAGATGAAGTGCGGGAGACAGTGATCCCAAGAAAGTGATGAAGAGGACCGAGATCAGTCATGGAAAATTCACGATTAAGAGAAGATATAATGTGTTGTAAAAAGGAATCAGAAGAGGCAGTGAGAATTATGTCATCAACATATAAGAGAAGATAGGCAGTATGGGAGGAGGAACGAAAAATGAAGAGAGATGAATCAGATTTAGACGCGGTAAAACCTATTGTGTGAATAAAGGTGGTGAAGCGATGAAACCAAGCACGAGGAGCTTGTTTAAGACCGTACAGAGATTTGTGAAGAAGACAAACAAAATCAGGAGAAGAGGAATTCTCAAAACCCGAAGGTTGTTGACAATAGACAGTTTCATTGAGAGTGCCATGGAGGAAGGCATTTTTAACATCTAACTGATGGATTGGCCAAGAGGAGGAGACAGCGAGACTGAGAACAACACGAATGGTACTAGGTTTTACAACTGGAGAAAAAGTCTCATCAAAATCAACACCGTGTTGCTGAGAAAACCCACGACAAACCCAACGAGCTTTATAACGAGCAAGAGTACCATCAGCATGAAATTTGTGACGGAAAACCCATTTGCCGGAAACAACATTGACACCGGGTGGTTTGGGAACGAGAGTCCAGGTGTTATTTTGCTGAAGAGCATGAAACTCATCACGCATAGCAGAGTGCCAAAGAGGATCGAGAAGAGCACGTTTATAAGATGTAGGAATAGGGGAGATAGTGGGAACGGCCGTGAGGTTAAGACGTCGTGTAGGGAGGTGAAAGCCACGCTTACCACGAGTGCACATGACATGATCATTGGCCGGAGGTATTATAGGAACGGCATTAGATGGAAGAGGCGGTGTGGAGGAAGAAGAGGAAGAAGGAGAAGCAACAATAGGGGAGATGGGCGTGGGAGGAGAGGAAGCTGCTGTCAAGGGAGGAGTGGGGGCGCGGAAGGCTGTGGTGAAGGAGAAGTGGGCGGTGCAGAAGGCTGCTGTGGAGGCATGGAAGACTGATGCGGTGGTGGTTGTTGCTCCGGGACAATAGAGGTAGGAGCTAGACGAGGGAGGAGAGGAGATGAAGAACGAACAGAGGAAGGTTGGGTTGTGGATGATGTTTGTGTGGCAGCGTAGGGAAAGGTATATTCGTCAAAGATGACATGACGGGAAATAATGACACGGCCGGATGAGGGATCAAAGCAGCGAGAGCCCTTATGATCATCGGAGAGACCAAGATAAATGCAGGGTAAAGAGCGAGGTTCTAGTTTATGAGAAGTGGTAGAAGTGATGTTGGGAAAACAGAGACAACCAAAAACGCGAAGGGAAAGATAGTTGGGATGGGAAAGAAAGATGGATTGAAAGGGAGTGTAGAGAGGACATGTTTTGGTTGGTCTAATATTGAGAAGAAGTGTGGCAGTGCGTAATGCTTCAACCCAAAAACGGGGAGGAAGAGAATCTTGAATAAGCAAGGTGCGAAGAATATCATTGATGGAACGAAGAGAGCGTTCTGCCTTGCCATTTTGAGGAGATGTATAGGGACAAGAAAAACGAAGAAGTATGCCGTGAGAAAGAAAGAAAGTGCGATTGCGAGTATTATCAAATTCTCATCCATTGTCACATTGAATAAAGCGTATTGGAAGACCAAAGTGGGTTAGAACATATTGACGAAAATTGAGAAAAATTGGGTGTACATCGGACTTGGCTCGGAGAGGAAAGGTCCAAACATAATGGGAATAATCATCAAGAATTACAAGAAAGTATTTGTAACCAGAAACACTAGGAATTGGAGAGGTCCATAGATCACAATGGAGCAATTCAAAAGGAAAAGTACTAATAGTAGAGGATGTACCAAAAGGTAGTCTAACATGTTTGCCACATTGACAGGCATTACAAAAAGAGGAATCATGAGGGACACTAGAACTAGGGATACAAAATTCCTATAACAATGATGATAGTGTAGCTTTATTAGGATGACCAAGCCGATGATGCCATAGATGAACTGATGCAAGCATGGCGCGAGGAGTGGAAGTGGGGGCGCCATGAAGAGGATAAAGATCGCCGGTGCTATTGTACCGAGCTAGAACCTCCCCCGTTGTCAGATTCTTCACAGATAAACCAAAGGGGTCAAAGGCCACAATGACTTGATTATCGATGGTAAACTGACGAACAGAGATAAGATTAGTAATTAAGGATGGGACTACAAGAATATTGCGTAAAAGAAAATTGTTAGAAGAATAGAGGATGTAAGAATCACCGGTGCAAGAGACAGGAATAGTAGAACCATCACCGATGGTAATGGAAGAAAAAGAAGAAGGGAAACAAGCTGACAAAAAATTCATAGTTGAAGACATATGCATAGATGCACCAGAATCGAAAATCCAATCCGTACCTTCGTTGTTGAGGGTGAAATTGTTCATGGCGGCGATGAAAGCAGCCTGATCCCAGCTCGGCGATGTGGTCGTAGGAGAGGGAGCAGGCATGTTCATTGGTGCATGCTGCCCGTATGCGTACAGTGACGGAGCCGAAGGAGCACCGGGCGCATAGGGAACCAGGGCGTAGCCGAGCGGAAGCACGGGGGCGCCGGGCGTGGTCGGTGTAGTAGTGGCGGTGTAGACGTGAGCCGGCGGTCGGGGTCCGAGGAGACCAGGGGAGCCGGTGGCAGGACGATGGCCCGGGCTCCAGGCGCCCGTGTATGCTGGAGGAGCGCCGTAAGGAGACGGAGCAGACCAAGGCATGGGCCACGCCTGAACCAGCCCAGTCCAGGGATCTTGCTGCTGGTGCCATGCCA